TGCCCGTCAGGGAGCGGGGAAGCCGGGAGCGTTGGCGGGGCGTGGACGGAGAGTGCCTGGCGGGAAGAGGAGGGCTCCTGAGGCGAGGGGCTTTCGCCGCTGCTCGCAGGCTCCATTCATCGCTGGCTCCTCCCTTCCTGCTTGCAGGTCTCGAGAGGAAAAGCCACGAATCAGCCTTGCCCCGAGCCGAGTTGCTGGCTTCTCCTGAAGCTTGGGAAGGAAGGGGACTACAGAGGGGCCGCCCTCGCGTTTCATGTTTCGTCAGCTTGACAGCATTTTGGCTTTGATTCCGTCTTACTCCTACCTGTTCCTGGACAGTGACGGGGAGGAGAGGCAGCGTCCCACCATGTCTCGCTACAGCCTCCATAATCTCCTGGACTGGATGTACGGGGGAGTGGACCCCAGCTTTGCTGGTAATGGAGGACCGGAGTGCGCGGCCTTTCTCTCTGGGCAGCAGCGGTTTCTGGAGAGTTTGGTCTTCCTCAGCGTGGGCGTCGTGGAGATCCTTCTGTCTTTGTGGAAGCTCAGACAGCTGCATTTCAGGGAACTGGAGGGTCACCTGCTGCAGCAGCCCCAGACTAAGCAAGAGAGCTTGGGCAAGAACGTACTGCTGGTGGTGGTCTGTCTTATTTTTGGGCTGGAGGTGGGGTTCAAGTTTGCCACCAGGACTGTCATTTACCTCCTGAATCCCTGTCATGTGGTCACTATGATGCAGGTAAGGCTTCCGTATGGTCACCATGAAGTTTGCTTTGGTTTTATACGTGCAAAGCAGTATTTCCTCGTAGTCAGTTTGTGGAACAAAATTGTATAGCAAAAGTACAAATGTCAAGAATTGGTATAAACATTTTAAAACTGACTTAATTTTTAATCAGCTGAATTGAAATTCCTGAAAAAAAAACAAAACAAAACAATTCAAATGAAAAGGTGAAATTGCAGCTATGACTAGTGACCCAATCTCTAGTTGAAAATGCAAAAAAATTAAGGCTGTCTCACTGCTTGCTTTCACGTGATCCCTGTTTCAAAATGCTCTTTCCACTGACTGCAGTGGTACAGTGTGTACCAAATTTAACGAAAACAAGGTTATTGCTAAAGCGGCTGTGTCATCTACATGCAACTTTTTCAAACAACTGACTTTCAGGGATGTGAATTTATTTTTGTGAAGGTGCTGACGAAACAAATTGCTCTTTATTTTGTGCAGACAATGTTGGTTTACCTTTCTAATTTTAAAAGTTGAATAGTAAGTAAACAAATGTTACCTGAGTCTTACACATGGGGTGAACAAACGGATCTGGCTTAATACCTGTGGATAACCTAGGTGCTTTAATGACTTGTGGCATGGTTGTTGATGCGTGATAACGTGTGATTTGTGTAGCTTCCCAACTAAGAGAAACTTTCATAGGCAGCTACTGAACTGTGATATCTAAATCTTACAAGCTGTCATAGTTCATAGTCCTGTGCGTCTGCCCAACTGTCAGCTTCACGGAGCTTGGGAAGGAGTGTGGGAGATGTCAGAGTTACTGTCTTGTTTGATTTTGCTAGTATTGTATCCGCAACACCAGAGACTCAACGCAACTTAGAGAATTTAAACTCAAGAATTAATAGAAGAATGTCAAAAGGGCTTTAATAAAAGCTGCCATGATAACAGCATCTGTGTAAGATCATGATGAAATGATGAAAATCAGACCAGTGCCATTCTTAGTCTCCTTTGCAGGGCGTGCAGTGATCTGGGCTTGTCACAACAAGGCAGTTGTGTTTCATTCCTGGAGAGATCTCCTAACAGGGGTGGAAGCATCGTTTCTGGATCTACTAAGAGTTTGAGGGAGATGGGTATTATTTAGAAGGGGAGAACCAAGCTCTTGCAGCAATATTCAAGATCTTTACAGCAATTAACGTACAGTTTCAGAAGTTAATCAGTAGGTTAGGTAGATTGCTAAGCAGTGATGCAATGTTAGCTCAGTGTTTTAGACTGTAGGACACTTGCTTCCCATGAAGTGGTAGCAATTGCTGTGTAATCAATTAGTCAGTATTGATAATGAAGGAAAAAACAGAAGGTAGGCAAGAGCTGTAGAAATAAATAATATAATATAATATAGCTGTGCTCCATTTGTTGGCAAGACTCAGTGTTTACTGGAAAATTTTCCTATTCTCAGGGAAGAAGGTGAGGATATGTCACCATTATGGTTTGAAAGTTTAGTTGTCTTGATAGGATGTTTTAATAAGTATTCAGCAAAAGCTAATGCTTACACATAAATGGGGGACCTAGTGTTGTTTACCTCAGTCATTAATGCTCTCCCCCAGGAGACAGAGAATTAACCTCTGCAGTCGGGCATGGGCAGTTCTTAATCTCTTTTTGACCACTTGTGAAGCTTTAAAAAATAATCCTATGCTGATTATTCATTAGAAATGGTGTTCCAGCATTTGTGAAGTTGAGAAGAGGGGTATGTTGGAAAAATACAGGAGTCATGCCTCTTCATCCTCAAACAGATGTATTAGAAATAGACCTGGGTTTAAAGTAGGGAATGAAAATAGCTGCAAACCCAGCAGCTTTTCCTGAAAAAGGTTAGATACAAAGACAGTTGATCACCTCTGTTGGCAGAGGAGTAATACATAGTAGTTGGAACCTTGCAAGCATTGTTCTTCTGGCCTGAATTTGCTGAGGGCAGCAGGTTGGCAAGATGAAATATATAAAAATATAATTTATCCTTCACTTTTGTTCTTACAGTAGTTTGTGTGTAATCCTGCTGCTATGCCTAAACAGCATGATGAGCAAAGTAGGGGGTGAAGAGATGAAATGTGCTACAACAGTCACTATGACTTCAAAGGGAAGCCAACAGTAGCTGTTGCCAAAGGTTTCTTCTTTCACTCAATTTCAGTTTTCCTTTTCTTCAGCTGAGGCTGCTTCACCTCAGAGCAAGGAAGGCTCTGGGCTTGGAGCCAGAAATACTTGAAACTGGAAATTATCCTTCAGATTTTCTCTGCATGAGAGCGAAAGTCCTGGTTTTAAAAGACCAAAGACAAATGAAATCACAAAATAAAATGGGAATTACATCTGTGGTGCATTTGGGCAGACAAGACTGGGTAATATAATGGATACTGAGTTCTACAAACAAGTCTGTTTTGATCAGGTGTCTTAATTCCTGCCTACCATGCCAGCCTGTGTTCAGATCAAACCTTTTTCATGTGGGAGGAACTAGCTTAGATTTGGCATCACAGGGATGAAGTGTTGATCAAATGAAAGTATCTAACTGCCTAAACAGTTCCCGTGGTTAATTGGAGTCAGAGAATTTGTTGCTGTCCTGCCATGTAGTTGAATTATCTAGAAACAGTGCTCCTCATTTCTAGCCTTTGGCTTGCTTTTGGCTTCTTGCATTAGCTTTTGGAGGAAAAAGGGCAGTTTTGTTTCTTCACCAGTGATGGAAGTGCATCATCAGCAAGAGATAAATACTTCAATTTTAAAAAAACAATTTAACGTGTATATATTTTAAACCAAAAGTGAATGGAAACTTCTGTGGTTTCTTTGGCAGCTCTCTGAGGGGGATGTTTTGTGCAGTATGATATTTAGGTAGTGTGTGGTGCAGGCTGGGGGGGAAAGCCTATGGAGGAATTCATACTGAGCTCTTCCTTTACATAAGGAGTAATTGTATTGAAAATTATTTGAATACCTCTATTTAAAAAAAAAGAAAACTCTTTTTACCACTGAGGATATGATGAGACCAATGATACTGCTGTAAACCTGGCATAAAAGAGTCTCCTAAAAGGAAAATGTTAAGCTCACTTGGGTGTTGCAAACCTATTTTCCTTTGTGTAGCAGGAGAAAATTCAGCATATATTTAGGTGACTAAGTGTTCTATTTCCAAGACATTAATCCTTTTGAGTATATTAGGACCCATAATTATGGTACTGAAATTGAAGACGTGAAGGAAATCCTTTAAGGTTCTGGTTTAGCAGTGTAAGAGGGAGGATTCATCCAACAGCCAGTTACAGCACTGTTGATCTCCTTGAAAGTTTTGTAAAGGAGACTTTTAGCAGCATTCAGAGCATGGCTGCTGAGCAGTGTACATAAAAGTCTCTCCCTATGTGTGAGCACCAGAATGCTTACAGCATTGCTTTTGTGAGGTGAAAGGAAAGTTTCATTCCTTGCGATGTCCAAACCAATTATATAAAAAAGAATTTATCTGTTTTATATTCTTTTAAGTATACATTTTTTAACTTTTCAGTCAAAATGTGTGTGTTTGTGTAGCTGTTCTGTATTTTGGGTTCAGTGAAGGAGCAGTTAGAATTGCCATGAAAAGCTGTGTTCTTCATGATTTGTTCCTGTACCCCAGTTTGTAATTTCTGATAGGTGTATTTTGCAAGCTGTTATTCGTAATGTAACTTAATGAAAACACATAAACACAGTCATCTCTTTGTGTCCTGAAAGACATCAAGCTGGAGTTAACAGGCAACTAAGATTAAATACAAACCAGGACCTAAGTGTAAAATGAGTCTGCATTACAAAAGAGATATTTGGAGAACAGAAGGAAAAACTGTTATGTGAAGGCATCTAAATCATAATTTGTGGGTAACAATTGTAGGGTGTAGTGACCCAAAAGGTCATGTCCAACCTTAATGATTATGTGATTATTATTTTTCTATTCTAAAATCTAATTTTAGGTTTGTGAGTTGGACCTTGAAACTGGTAGTTTTAATTTGACTTCTTGGTGCTTCACTAGGACTATTCAGTTCCAAACAGTGAAGGTTATGACTGACCAATGTGTAGAAATTATAAGTGTGTAAGTGTCTTAAAACCTTGTTGGGGGGAGTGGTGGAGAAGTGACTGCAATCTAATCCTAAAATGATGGGTACAGTTAGTCCTCTCTTAAAGTGTTGTAATTTTTCACCTTCCTTGATTTTAGTATGCCAGTCCCTTCTTCCAGAATGGTGACTTAGTACCAGGGTGTAGAATGAGTTTCGGTGGTTTTTGTTCATTTCTCTTGGGAAGAGGTTGCAGGGGTTCCTCCTACAGAATCATTTCATGGTGGTACATCCACAGCTGGGGAGTTGTCCTAATTCTCTTGCAGTTCTACACAGAATTATTGCACTGCAGGCACTTAAGGACTGACTTTTGTCTGGAATGAAGAAGATGGGTTTTGGAGGAAACACTTGTCCTGCTGGATGGTTACTCCAGACAGTGATGTTTTTAGGTGAAGAGAAGTAAACTAAAGGCCATGTGGTAGGTGGGAGACAGGCAACAGAAAGAAACATAGGGGAGTCCAGTTCTGGCCAGTGATCTCAATCTGGTCTTTGCATAGCTAAAACCACTGTGAAGTGCATCTTCAGTAAATACTGAAGCTTGTGCTCATGATTTCCAGTTTTACCCTCACTAGAGACCTGCATTCTTTCTGTCCTCTACAGAAGAGGCTACTGTGTTTTTTGGAAACATTGGGCTGGTTTTGGAACTTGCACAATAAACACAGCTTGACTGAATTCTGGATCATTTGGGAATATGTCCCAAGAATTAACTAATTAATTATATCCTCCTCTCTCCCTTTCTACCTCCTCCTCTTTTTTTTAATTTTTTTAAACCTTGGAAAAGATTGATTATGTGGTCAAATGTAATTTTTTCAAGTGTGAATTTGAATTTAATTTGCATACACTGGTCATAAATGCTTTGTAATATTTGGCATAATCCAGTTAAATTGTCTGTAGTTTTCTATATTCTGTCTCTTCAAAACA